CACACACACACACACACACACACACACAGACAAACCCCTCTTCCCCACCGATTCACCCCCACCCCAACACATGCACACACGAGCGCACACACACACAAAGTCCGACGAAACGGTCTGGCACACTCATGCTTTTCTTCTGGAATTGTGTGTACGAGAGAATGACAACACAGAACACAGCCTTACTAGCTCTCCATTCCGGCGGATTGACGAGGTTAGGGTCAGGACCAGACTAGCTGTCATGCCAGAGGACGTCACACACACATAAAGTCCGACGAAACAGTCTGGCACATGCTTTTCTTCTGGAATTGTGTGTACGAGAGAATGACAACACAGAACACAGCCTTGCTAAGCTCTCCATTCCGGCGGATTGACGAGGTTAGGGTCAGGACCAGACTACCGCCCATGCCAGAGGACATCCCTGGATCAGTGTGTATAGAGTGTTGTGTGACAAAGTAGCTTCTTCGACTTACTGCCACCATTCTTGCCAGGGGTTTGGGCCGACAGTCTGCTAGGATTGCACGGCGGATGTGACTAAAGCTAAACACATTTCTCAGGGGCATTGTTGATTGTGGGTGATGTGGTGAATCCTTAGCCATCAGTCAAAAGGAATCATGAACTAATCTAAGGATACTGCCTTTTCGAGTTGATTGTTGATTGCACCGACAGTCTTTCGCACTTGTCAGTCTGCCGGCGCGTTTTCAAGTTGACGTGGGAAGTTGATTGCGTGTTGAATACCGCACTGAACAATGTGTTGTTATGCGCTTCTTGGCTACGGACGATGTAATAATAATTCCTCTTTCAGCAGTTTCAAGACATGCTGTGCATGTGTCTTTCGCTGGAATTTGTGACTTAATCCATGAATTCCCATCATTGCTTCTAATCTAAGGATACATAAACACGATATGATCGGAAGAAGAAGCACAGTACAAAACAATGTGGCTGCATCCCTTCTTCCCCCCCCCCCCCCCCCCCCCAACCCCCCCAACCCCTATTAAAGGATACATCCAGTTGGTCAGTCATAATCAATGAACCAGCACCCTATTAAATGAGCGCAACTGACTGCTTCATCACCACAGGCTCAAGACTGTTTGAGCCCCGCTTGGTTAACCACTGGGAAATCCTTGCGATTAACCTCAGTCACTAACCACCAGTTAACCGCCGTGCTTGGCTTCTGATCACTAGGCAAATTCATGCCATCCGCTGACTGGTGATAGTTGGCAAACATCTGTAAATTAAGGCAGCCAACTATTTGATCATCGCTAAACACTTCTTATAAACCTTTTTCATTGTTCTTTTCCGAAATGTTTGGCCTCGGAGATCCAAATTCTCAGGAATATAACCCATGTACGTTGTTGGGTGCTGCGTCTGGAAGGCCCCCTTTGGGGTAGGGTCGCACCAAGAAGGCTTCAAGGCAGAGTCAGGCACAGCAGCCTGAGAAGCAGCGGACATAGCTGCTTTGCGTTGTTCTGCACGTCAGGGTTAGGCCCTTAGTAGACTGCCATAGCCTCGGCTTGGTTGAAGAGAATGAAGAAGGTGAAAGGCACTCCACGCTGCAGACCCCAAATTCAAATCTCAGTGTCAAAGTCTCAGGACGAGGGGCCAAGTCGGCCAGTTTCAGAAAAGCTAAGTCCGGTGCCCCAGAGGTCAAGTCCAACAGGCACCCGCTCAACAGTCACATCCCAGAGGCAAAAGTCACATCCAACAGGCAAAAGTCACGGTTCACGGTGAAAGGCCATATCCCACAGGCAAAGGGCACTTCCCCAGGAAAAAGTCGTGTCCCACAGGCAAAAGTCACATCTCGAAGAAGGACATATTCTACAGGCAAAGGTCGAAGCATATCCCACAGACGAAAAGACGTGACTCCTAGGCCCAAGCAGCAGCACACCAAGGGAAAATTCAGGCAGGTACCAGGCCTCGACCTTCTGAAGCAAGCAGGCCGTGGGCCTGTGGTACCGGTTCCAAGTCAAGCCAAAGGGAGCAGAGGCTGGGATGTGTCCAGGCTCGGTCCAAGTCAATATAAGGACTGGCGAGCAACATTTCAGACAGATTGCTCATCCGCAAAAAGTGTGGAAGTGCTGCTGGCACTCGTGCGCTATCTGCGGGTAGCTAGCGCTCGAGCCCTGCTGGGCCAGCGCTGTGCTACGGAAGGAAGGCGGCCATTGCCGCACATCTGGTAGTAGGGGATAGAGCTTAGTAGCGGATGTATCCAGAGTCAAGATCTTCAAGTAGAAGGAGAGAGAGAGAGAGAGAGAGAGAGAGAGAGAGAGAGAGAGAGAGAGAGAGAGAGA